TAATAATATTAACAGCATACATATGTACGACATAAGCTTATTAAATTGTATTGGATTTAGTTGCAGATTTCATTTATAAATTGTAACCATTATTTACGTTACGTTGTTTTAATTAGGGATGGAATAATTAATTATCAGTAATTTCATTACGAAAACAATGGAGCTCCGAAGAAAGGTGGAACAATTATTCGCATTTAAATCACCTAATGCAATTTGGGAACATATTCCTTGTAAGAAGAGACAACATGTTATTAATGACACTTTAATCCTATTCATTACGAGTAAAACCCCTCTTATTTGTATGATTAATTAATTCGTGCTAATTCCAATTTTATGCATTCTTAAACATGTTTTGCTGGTACATGAAAGTAAGCTCAATTCTAACATTGAAAATCAAATAAAAGGTTTTTACATACATATATCGCCATCACTGCCTCCATCATAATTTAATTATTTTCTTAATTCCTTATAATAAAACAATAAAAACCGTCTAGAAGATTTTTATGTCATATAGAGGAATTAGTTTATATATTAGATAGGGCAGGGATATAGGAAGCTTACCCCATGTACTGGGCCTGTTGATACCCGGCGAATTGGCCATAAGTGTAGCCCTGCATCCCCTGCAGGAAACCGCCAGCCTGCATCTGCGTCGCTGTCGTTGGGTAAGACTGGGGCGGGTACCAGTATCCCAGCTGTCCGGCACCGCCGACACTACCGACGCCTCCGACGCCCGCGACGCCCGCCGCCGCCGCGGCGGCAGCAGCTGCCGCCGCGTAGTATGGGTACGTCGCCGACGATAACGCCTGGAAGAATAACCATGAAAGATCAATGAAACAGAGCGAGGGCTCTCTCTCTCTCTTCAATTTTATTCTTGGCAAATTTTCGCGAGGCACAGTTAAGAATTGATGGGTTTAAAAATTCTACTAATGTCTCATTGTCTCATTCGTTTCGTTGAAGACGTTGCAGGGGTTTCTGTGCTAACTGCCTGAATATCGAAATCCAGTTTCACAAATTTTCTGTCTGGACGAATTTCCCATCTAAGGGATTTTAAGAATATTGGGAATATGTATAGCTATGAGATAGAAATTGGTATACAAGGGCCGGTATTCAGAGTCGTTACTTATATTTAAGATCGCTTTAAGCAATTATCGCCTTAAATAATATTGCTTAAGATGAACGAAAAAATATTTTTCGAAGATGAAAGCAGTTGGATTGCATCGAGTGTGAGAGGCCGGGTCGCATGATGAGGTACGTAGTAATGCGATATTCTAGTACTCGCGAGAGAAGCGCGTTATGGGAATAGGGATCAATTAGAGCGATGTCACGGGCCGAGTAACAGTGGATGTATGGACGGAAGTACTAAGGGAGAAGAGGACGTACTCCGAGCTCTACCATTCCCAGATCGGACGTACTTACTCGTTCTACCGGCGCTAATTGCTAAGAGACCCTGCAGACACACTTTAGAGTAAGACCCGTGAATAGACCGGAACCTTGTCCACCGTCCTAAACGCCCCTACGTCCCAACTGCTTCTCTTTCCTAGCTTACGTTTTTATTTTCTTACCCTACTAACTTGACATACAGCAAATGCTGACTGGGCAATCGAATACTCGATTTCCTTTTTTTAATAGCTAATCACAAGACCCATTCACGATTTACTCCTGGATATTTACAGAGTCTAATGCAATTTCTATACTGAAAAACTAACAAACTATGTATCATTTGAAATATAATCTAAGTGACTAAGTGTACTTATTTGCCCAGTCCACACATATTTCTACATGTCTTTGGATAAAATCCTTCTAATTAGATTGCAGATTCTTAGGCATTTAGTTAAGTGGCCTGAATTTTGAACATTGCACTGAATATGCAAAAGCATAGAAACTATTAGTAGCAAAGTGGATGCCAACTGTGAGAAAAGCAAAGAATCGTTTGTTTATCTTTCCATATTACCATTGATTATTATATGCTCCTCGTATTCCTGATTAAGAAAATGGAGGACAGATGATTCTCATATTCCTGACTAAAAAAATTGAGGAGAATTGACGTTTTATTTGGTATTTTATTTGAAGTGTCGTTTCGAATTTTATCCGAGACGTCGCGTCGTTTCGAATTTTGTCTGGAAAATCGTGTCGCGAATTTCATCGGTTCGACGAGTGGTCAATAAAAGGTTGAACGTTTACCTGTCCCGTTTGTTGAGCATTGTTCGGGTCTCCGCTCTCCTTGCCCCAGCTGCATTTCACCGTTTGACCATTGATGTCGGTGTTGTGTACCGCCACAATAGCGTGCGTCGCCGATTCTTTAGTAGAAAACCTGAAATACAGAATCAGCCACGAATCTCAGATTAGCTTCCAACGTTTATGTTAAATTGACTAACGTATAACGATTTTTCAGTAAATTCACTGACGGTCAATTATCCCCAGAGAATATGACGAGAATACACACGTGTCCCCTTGTATTCAGTGAAACAAACTTCTGTGACTGATTCACTGACAAAGCCACAAGTGTAGGGGATTAAATGTAAATCTGTTGTAGACTGGTGGAAAATAAATGAAACTTCGCAGAACGGAGACAATAGACAAATGTTTTTTAAATTTCAGAATTATATAACAGACATTTTATTGCTAAAGCATTTCTTTTTATTGCAAAAAAGAAATTGTTGTATTATATTTATTATATTATTAGATATATTATTAANCTTGACATACAATGACGAGTTTGACTCGTCATTTATTCCATTTAATTTGTATGTAAAGTTCCATTTAATTTGTATGTCAAGGGGTTAAAGGATTTTGTTATTGAAAATAAAAATGATTATTATATTACATTTATCATAAAGAAATTAAACGACCAACGTAAGCGTCGAGAAATGTTTATTGTTCTACACGTACACTAATTTAATTCTTGCACATCTGCGTGGCAACTGTGTCGGGGATCATTTTGGCTGGCAAAGAAGAATATCGCGGATCCAACGATACGTTTTTTCCCCCGCCAGTTACACGGGACCTTATTATCGTAGGTTTAACGAAACGGGCAGCAACTAGCGGGCTCAGCGATTCCTGCAGTTTAATCTATGCGAGTTGCCCCCGAATGCACACGAATAAGCACGATAATTGTGAATCCCCGCCGATTCTAGATTACCCCGTTCCACGGATTCAGAGATTCCACGTTAAATCGTAGTTTCACATACATACATAACCCGGGCTCGCCACTTTGAATCTCATACAGTTTGGAGAGCGTTCAAAGTGTATATCGAGCATGTGAACAAACATCCTGACCCCCCTCTTCTCCCCCCTCGGGATATTATCAGTCTCCTCGATAACGAGTTAACCGACGCGCCCTCCGCGCCCACCCCCTTTCGAGCAAATTCCCATGAAACATTGTACAGAGTGTAAAGAAATGTTTGATCATGGCAGTCATACATTTTCGAATCGGTGAAGGTCTGTAAAAAATGAATTATCTATACAGAACTGTTTTTGAACTTGAATTTCAAGGCCAAATGTGTGTCTCAGTGCATTCATCATGGGGGGTGATTGAAATCGTCATTATTATTAAGGGAAACGAGTGTCAAAG